GAGAAAGACCGTGGGCATTCCCGATCAGAGGGAACTGTCGGAAAACAAAGCCGCTCACGACTGTCTTCTGTATCTGGTCAAGATGCATCGTGAATTATTCATGGTGAGTGCCACGGTGCCGAACGTCCAGGTCGTTCGAGAGGAGCGTCATCCGACGTCTCGAACCGCCGATTGCGATCGCGCTCGAATCCGATATATTCGTACACGTTCTCACGAATGGGAAGGGAAACACGGGTAATTGTATTCGTTTCTGTTCTCTGTATCAGGTCTCCTCGGATATGTTGACGCAGTGTACTTTCAATTACATGGAGGAAAGCGTCCCGGTCGCCTTGGAGGAGCTGGGCTCCGAGATGAAGCAAGACTGGAGGGGATACTTGTACGCCTGCACCACGGCACTATTGAAGGAGGCGCGTGAAAAGTGAGTGAGCTACATTGAAACCTTGCGAACGAGAACACGACAGTTAATTGGTGGACCAACGCATCCTCAACCAAACATTCTAATTTTGGTTCCTAGATCCTCACTCATCCTGTACTTCGTACCCCTCCTTAATGATACTCTCCTTTGATGACCCTTAATACTATTCCGAAAGCATCGAGTCCCTTTTACGTGACAACAGAGGCAAACTCAAGTGCGGACGTAGTTGTACAAATAAAAACCTTCAAGAGTTTCTCTAGAACACAGTGTCGTCAGATAATTTCTTTCGCTCGAAATTTAACATAATCCTTTGAAAGTTGATCTGAAAATTGTTACTGGGTAGTTGACGTGATATTCTAACCATAATATTGACTGTGCCCACAGAAGTCGAGGATGGGTGAGCGTCAACAACCCTGCCGACAGCACGGTGGAAATGGCTTACAAGAAGGTCGGAGATGGTCATCCTCTTCGATTATGGCGAGTGTCAACAGAGGTGGAGGCTCCACCGAACGAGCTTCTTCATCGTGTTCTGAGAGAGAGGCACATCTGGGACCCACAGCTTCTCAAGTACAGACTGGTTGCCAAGTTAGACACCAACGTGGAGGTCTTTCAATACGCCACCGGGAATATGAGTCCTCTTCCTGCTAGGGATTATTGCGTGCTAAGGTGAGCCTTCGATTCGTCTGTGCCTCATAGTCGATGGTGCGCGATACAGCTTTGCATCGAAGCCATCGACGTGGCAAATAGCGAATAAATTCTAGCAGAACTATAAGGGAAATAAATCACGCGATCCTGCATTGTGTAGATCCTGGCGTAACGATCTCCCCAAAGGGGCCTGCGTCATCGTGGAAACGTCCGTGAAACATCCGGATGCCCCTGTCATGCTTGGCGGAACACGTGGTATTGTTTTGGCCTCGCGCTATATTATCGAACCCTGCGGTAGTGGTAAATCACGGATCATGCATCTTTCCAGAGTGGATACAAAGTAAGTACACTTCGGGCTATATGAAATCGTACGTAGAAAGTATACCTGCGAATAGAATATTCACTTCAATCGTCATCGTTGGAATAAATTTAGTCTATTGGCAAGGCTGTTTCTTGAATCATTCTTCACACCAATTAGAGCCATACTTTATGTCATGTATTATTTCTAGTAAATTATAATTGAGCCGTTCATTGTACGGAAATTCAAAATGTTCATTTCAATCGTAATCGACGAAATAAACTGAATGTTTTTTATGACAGGTTCTTTCCCGAATCATTTTATATAACCAATAACACAAACAATTACAATATATACAATACCATATGTTATGTATAATTTCTAGTATATCTAGTATTTAGTATTGTTGCAACTCAGACACATAAAGGACACGAAGTATCCAGTACATTCAAAATGTCACTGAATTTGTTTCAACCGAAGATGAGGAAAGACACAACATAAAATTTAAACAAACACGAGTAGTATTTAATAACGTTCGCCCTTCTGCATTTGCAGAGGACGCACTCCGGAATGGTACAACAAAAGCTACGGTCACCTCGCCGCCCTCCACCTCAGCAAAATTCGCAACTCCTTCAAGCACACTACCGACGGCCCTGAAAGCAAAGTCTGAGAGGAGGCAACCGTGCAGCGGTCACCGTTGCACGGTACTTACACGACTCTACAAGAGCAGGACGACCAGCACCAGGACCTCAGGATCTTGAAAGAGCTGCGACACGTCGAGCCTACCATCGACGAGGAATGAAAGAGGCTCATGCTTGCGTCAGTTTCGTCGATTCTGCGTCCAAAGTGCTCTAAAGAAGATTAGAAATCCACGAGAGCAGCGATTCGTTATCGAAAATGGACACCGACGTAGATTTCACGAGTCTAGAAAAAACGAATTACCAGTTACGCGCATGCGCTTTAATCGATGTGAAGCAATTTCTGTTGAAGCCTGAGATGTTTAGCGTAGACGTCGAATTGTTGTCAATCGTTAAAGAGGGAAACAGTTTATTGTTATTGTAATTATAGACGAAAATTCTCTGTGTGACGCTTCATTGTCCAAGGATCTTGCCGTCCAGTAATCGCGAAAGTCGTTAAAGGCAGGATACCGGTTTAAAAAGAACGACGAGAGTTGGCGCGTACCGATGTTGTTCCATTTACGATCTTGACGGACGCGTCAGGACTAATAGCGAGTAGCTTGTAGTTTTGTGTCCAGTAGGGAAGAGAATCTCTTGCTCTGGATCAAATGTGCTTGGTACGTCTCGGATAGGTTGGTATTGGGTCAGACTTGAAGAAGCTGCTGCGTGTATACGATGCTATACAACCTGATTTGACCATCGCCGCAACCTCAGACATTAAGGTCGTTCGCTCAACGTCTTCGCCTAACATGCCATTGATAACGTGTCCGCATACTGTTGCTCCTAGAGAACCTGAGCGCAGGGTCATACATCCCGTCGATGTCTGTGTACACAAGTTGGTATATATGGTGGTACCATTCGTTTGAATGTTGTACTTGCGTGATTGTCCAATTTCTGATGTTGCGCTGATCGCGATTGCGCTGGTTGTTGTGCTATGCGCACTTGTCTGTCCCGATGTCTCTAAACCCATACCTCTGCGTCGTTCATCATCCTGCCCAGGTAAGTTCGAATCGTGTTCGATTCCCGGCTAACTCCTGCGGAGTTGGGACGTCCCGTTCCTCCAAGACGTCCGATGTTATCGTTATCAGCAGTTCCAGAACGCTCGTCATCAGTGAAGAGAAAAAATGACTCGCTAATGGATCTAGATCCTAGCTGAGAGCTACCTGGCAAGAATGCGCCTTCGATGGTAGCGCTTCGATAATCGTGCGTCGAATAGATATGTATTTCGATCATCGTAACCGCTGAAAAACATAAGATACGTAATTCCGCGTCGCACGATATTTTTTAATCTCACCAAATGAACGAAGTGGAGGAAGAGAGCCGCGCACAATATTAATAAATTCGCACCGTTTTAGTACATAAGAGCCCGTATTTTGTATGTTTCTTTCGGACCAAATGCCAATTTTTCTATTGTATCATATCGCGCCGTTCGTATCGTGCCCAGAGATGGTTATTTTAGATCGATTATTTTGTAAATTGTCACGATTTAGACGAGCGACCGTGTAAAGAGCATAGTAGTATATTGTATGTATGTGTATATCTATTTATAAACAACAAAAATTCCGACGACGACGGGACGCGTTCACGACATATCGTTTTCGACTCCGTGAATGCGTGTTCCCGATCGTCGTACTTGGAGCGAACTACCACCCTTTCCCCCAATCTAGCGATTAACCCGTTTAATCGAGCAATGCGAAAGGATTTTGAGTAAATGTGTAAGTTTTTCCGAGTCACGGACGCCACGTGACCAGGCGCGCCGTGTAAACTCGTTAATTAAGCAATTCGTCGTTGTCACTCGTATCGATGTTGAAGCGTTGAAAGCTGTCATAGAGTCTATTGTTAATTGTCTGTCTGAAAAAAAAAAATCGTAAGTGTGTGTCGAGTCGGTGATTCGTGAAACTAAAGAGTTTTTCAAAAGGGGCTTCGTTTTCTAATAAAACACAAACTGTTTTTATTTCAACTGAAAATACACACGATTACGGTTAAACGTGAAAGATGATGTACTAGTGTCCACGGCTGCGCTGACAGACATTATTGCTATTGAAGAACAAAATCTTATGGCAATTTTTGAAAAATTCTTTACTTTTTAACCGGTTCTCGGCCAGTCGAGCATTTAAAAACGATCGTCGTTCGAGATCAATTTCGTGCATGCGCACGCGACTTCGCGCAATAGGGACCACCATCGTTCGGACCCCGAAACAGGAAACGACCTGGAGAAATAATACACCTCATCGAATCGAATTATAAATGTATTTTAACATAATACTAGTCACTTACAGTTAGATGAAATTATGGAAATACGATATAAGTGTATAGATTTTTATTCTACAAAACGTTATGTCGAGAATATTTAATTATTATTATTATTTTAATGGTTATTATTATCATTATTATAGAATCTAAAGTAACTCCATGGAAAATATATGATATTTTTGTGTCCAAAAAACGCCAGTAGGAACACGAGAATGTGTGTACGTGCGTGAGAGAGAAAGAGAACGCGTCTGAATGTTTCTCCGTTATTTGTAACGACATAATGATCGTCTTTATTCTTGTAATCCGTGTTTCACTAGAATGTAAATATGTATATTATACAATAATGAAACACAATTATATACTCATTAAACGAGATCGTTTTATTTTCGACGTTTAATTGTTCCTTTACGGCCTGCCGGAACTGTCCATTCCCACGTGTTGAAAATTATGCAACGATCGACGCAGTCGAAGCGGTCTAGCACGTTTCGACTTGTTTAATCGATAGCTCCTAGTTGCTACGAGAGCGTGCCGGAGTTTTCTGTCAACTTGCGTCGCGGCGATCTTGTTATTCGTTGATCAGTTCGTTGGATTTAGCTGTTACGCTCCACGAGTATATCCATTGTGCAACTAACACGTGTCTGGTACACTCTGTCAACCTTTGGTATCGGGAAAATCGATTCTTAACACCGTAAGAGTAATTCATATAAGAGCTTTCCAAGTGACGGAGCTTGCGAAATCGGCTTGTGACTTGCTCAATTAACCTAGGCCATTTGAAATTGAAGTAGTAAGTCTTTTCCTCTTCCTCGATTAAACTACTGACAGGTTAAATGTGTTTGGCCGGCAATTTAGACTACGATGGGTATAAAAAGAATAATTACAAAATGTAACTTCACTTTCGTAAAACTTCCATTGTGCTATTATTGTTAGATATTATTGTTAGATATTGATCAAAATCACAAAAAATGTCGTTTTAGTATTTTCATATGAGAATTTCAATTTCTTTGTATTTTTAAACATGTTTAATCTCATATTCCTAGCTTCTCTTCTGCGACAGTTTTTGTTGTAAAATGATTCAGAAATTCAATATACAGAATAACCTCGAGGTGTCATTACTGGTATAAGACCGTAAGGGATGAAGTCAGAATTTTATTTCACCGCGTGGAAAATCTCCAGTCATCTCGTACGCTTCAGCGAGAGGCGCACTAATGCACGCTAATAAAAACACGACGTCGTTTCATGACATCGCTTTGTTTAAAGGTTCTGAGAAAATGGTTCGACTGCACGTGAAGAAAGGCGAGGAGAGCCAGTTCCTATACGACACACACGTCGAGGCACGAGTTGAAGACGTTGTATATGACATTGCTATTATTTACAACGGTCGGCTGAAGATATCCAGAATATGTTATGGTAATGATCCCACCCCTTGGTCCCTCGGCCGAGAAAGTGGTTCGGAAGGATGACATCTAATAGCGTGCAAAGAAACCCTGGGTTGTCTCGAAAGTTGCACTTTATTTACGCACAGTCGGGCCGCGTGATCGTAAGTTAAATGGCATGAGTTGTCTCAAGGTAACGGCGCGCAACGCATTATTACCGTTTTCTCGTCGTTTTTATTTCACCGTGCATAACGGCCCCGTGCGACCCGAACGTGTACGATTTTATCGAACACTACCTGCAGGCTCTTTGAATGCCAATGATTTTATCGACGACAGCGAGTTACGTATCCCTTCATTTATTCGCGAATTAAAATTTATTCGGCCTAAAATAATCTAGGAAGATTTTCTTCGTTTCCATTTTGCCTTTATTTTTTATCATTTCTTTTCGTGGTAATAAAGTTTCTGACTGGATTTGATTCGACTTTTTGTTGCTGTCGAGGCTAAACGATCTAAAAGAATCTCCTTTCTCTCTCGGCGTTTATGCATTTTAGTGGACGCTTGCAAACTGAACGAAGAGAATTGTTATGAGAAGTGTGGGTGGTGGAAATGTGAAGTGGTGGTGAAGTGACACCATGGCGACAAGCCTAGATGATAACATAACTATATGAGTCAAGTAACAACATGACGTTAACGATGACGACGATGACTATCGTGATGCGAAGGGAAATGACAATGACTGTGACAATGAACGATACGAACAACGATGACGATGAATATTGTAAACAGTAATGGTAATCTTCCTAATGGAGGAAAACCGCTCCTTGTCCGTGTAAGGTTAATTGCAACCATCTTCAAAGCAATGAATTACCACCCCTCGCCACGCATCAACCCCAAAGTCGATATTGTTTTGCTTATTTACGGAGTTCCTTTTCATGCACCTGGAACGGCCAGGGTTGCTAGTTAGAATATTAACCCGAGAAATCCATTAGCGAGATTATCTCGAGGGAGAGCCTGAACCGCGGCTCGTAATGACGGCGCGTAATAAGAAGTCGAGGTTTATGAACCTATCCATCTCGGCTACCGCGTGATATTAGTCATACGTCGCGCGGGTATAATAATTACGCTGAGTTTTATGCTTAACCGGTGGCCTCCGTGTTTCTGCAAAATAGAAATCGAGGAGCTGGCCAAGCATGGCCCCATGCTGCCCCACAACATGATGGGCCTCACCGACGAACAGATAGAGGAGCTGAAGCTCAAGGACGAGTGGGGTGAGAAGTGCGTACCGATGGATGGATGGACGTTTAACAAGGACGTTATCGGTACGTAGAACCGTATCAACCGAGCAGTATGGTAATTTCTTAAAGGGGGAGTTTAAGTCTCTGCCATACTCTCGAAAGAAACGCATTTCTTTGAGGATTTTTAGAAACCGAACAACTCGATAAAAAAAACTTTGAAATTTGTATCATATTGTGACCATGGTTCAAGAAAACTACTCAAAAATTTGCAGAATGTTGAATTTATTTTTTCAATCTATGGAATTAAGAATATTTTATTGGAATGTAATTAACCCTTTCAGACCTGGTGTCCACAATCGAGGACACAAAATTACAACACACAAAATGGACACTATCGTTTAGGGCGAATGGCTTTATTTGTGTACATTAAGAAAGACCAGTTTTCCTCGAAAACTACACTATTAGTATTTTTTTTTTTATTTTTTCAGTTCTAATTTTAGTCCAAGTTAACTCTAAAAATTGAATTAGTATGAGAAAAAAAATAATTCAGGTCTGAAAGGGATAAGAAATTTCTGTTAGATCGAGGATTTTTTCTTAAGAATATACAAATAGAGAAGCAGTAAAAATCTTCTTAGCAACTACTGCATGCACCCCAAAGCCCCAAGCCATTATCAGTATAAACTCAGATATGTCCACAGTTGTAACAGTCCATTATTTCTAAGATCTGTATCTGTCAATTTATGCAAAATATTTCAATTTTTCAAAACTTCAAACCTGGTGTATCTCCTAAAGGATAGAGCCCAGTTTCGAGCAAACGACGGTGATCGTGGGAGATGGTAACGACTCTGTTCATTTTTATGTCGGTTTGCACGGTCACTTTCAGCGCAAATGCAAATGCCACGTAGCCAGGAATAGAGTCCACCCGATGTCGTCGAGAAATTGTCCGAGCCAGGATTTTTGTTGCTTCGAATGGACTTGTAATCGTTGCATTAATTGCTCCCTCGTTCCTGCTGGAATGTCCCGATGCTTTTCCATGTTTCAGGCCGCAGGAACGGCAGACAGCCTAATGCGAAGATGCGGGAGGTCCTGGAGAGAACCATCGGGGAGGCACGAGCTATGGTTTCGAAGGTAATTTCTCCTCCGTTTCCCTCCTTCTTCTTTTTCCCTCTTAGAGGATAGATCTCTTCGCTCCTCGGAGCGCATGGGCACGCTAATGTTCCTCCTATCTTTGGCTTTTTCTGTCTGGGAGCAGAAGTTGGTGCAACAGGATAAACTGGTAACGCAGAAACTCGTGCAGGAGGCCTTGGACAACCTGAGGGGCGCTGTGACCATCGTCTATCCGATGGGACTTCCTCCGCATGATGTGATCCGTCAGGAATTTGAGAATACGGAGGACCTCAGTGGAACCCAAGCGTCTTTAGAGGTACTATTTATTGTTTATTGCATAGAAAGCTTTCCAAAATGGGATATTTTGTTTTTTAATAACAAATACACCTGTCAACGTAGGTGTGATGGACTTTTTCAGGTTTAATTATAATCGTTTGTATTTTAGGTACAATAACATTATTACATCATCATACGACTACATTGTTATACTGTTTACTTTACTGGTCAATATTGACTAATTAGTTATTTGTTATTTATAAAACTGCTACCAGAGGATTCAAATTGATAAAGTGGCGTCATCTAACGGCGATAGTAGGAACTATTCGACGCGGCGTTGTCGCTGATAGCGTGAATCAAATATTTGAAATTCGTTCATAGAGGCATTGTCACCCGTTTTTCAAATAGTTTTTCTCGTTATTGTGTTCAACGTGGTAAACATCATTGCCAATGTGTTGCTTGAGCCTACAACTCTTGTTTGCTACGTACCAGATACGTCGACTTACGTTGGTTTATATTAATCATCCAAGAATTGCGAAGTGGCCCATTGGCGCGTTTTGTTCTTGGTTCTAATTGTCGTCGAACTTTAAATTAAAGTATCGTGTGTGGATTTGTTTTGAAAGTTTATTGAGAGAGGTACAGCTTGATTTCTATGCGAATGAGTTTTATTATTCGCGATTAAATATATCATACATTTTAATGAGACAGAAATTGAATTGGACGGTTTGTGGTTACAGGTAATCGATTTGCAGTTAGCTCAACTTTGGTTCTCAGGGAAAGAGATGTTACCGGGAAAGAAATTGAAGGACTATCTAGGAAGAAATGAGAAAACGAAAATCATCGTCAAACTACAGAAACGAGGAGCTGGAAGACCAGCACGCGAGCCAGTAATGTCGGAGGAACAACGTAAACAACTTATGTTGCACGCTTACAATCGACAGGAGCAGCTTAAGGTAAGTGGGAATTTTCTGCCACCGATAAAGTAGTTACCATCGTGCGATAGAGTGGAATTTTCGAATGTTATCAAAACTTGTACAATATTATGATTCGCATTTCGAAAATGAGTCATTTACTGTATAATACTGAATATCTGTCAGTAGTATTTGCTGTGCAGTTTCTACTTGTATATGCTGTCATCTATAGGTCGATGTTTGAACTATACAATCAGTTTCTATTGCATACAAATAGAACACTGTGATAATTTTAGTTAGTTTTGTGATAGTTTGAATAAAACTGATTTATTATATAAAATTGATGTAATTTAAAAAAATAATATCGTAGTGAAATGGAAGATAAATACTAAATAAATAGTATTCCATACGAAAACATAGAATAATTAACAATTGACAAATTGTTAATAACTTTAACGAAATTTCAAATTTAGGAATTTAAACATATATTCTTTCAACGAATAAAATAAAATAAGTGAATCTATTTCATTATGAAAATCCACGAGTGAGGCAAAATGTTTAAAGAAAGTAGAAATTAGAAAGTTTAAATAAAATCACGTAAAGTGGACGCTCACTGAATTTATTCGTGTCAGTTCAATGTACTCATCGAAACAATTCTTTCGTTTCCATTATCGATCAAAGAGGTATAATTGCGTGATTTCCATTTACGTTACCGGGCGCATTCAACCGTGGCTCATCAATAATACAATTTGTCTCCCGTGGTCGTCCTCGTTGAGTCCCATGAGTTTCATTCCGTTCAAGTTCACAATATTTCAAGGAAACCGAAGGAAAATATACTTAGTGACTATACGATCTTTACACCATGTACGTCGTGAATTATACACTATAATATCCAAAAAAAATCTTTATATTGAGACATAAATTAAATATGAATTCATTTCTTATTTTTCGACACTTTATGATAATATATTGCGATTCATACGTATATCAACATCCAACTTCCTAAAAAATTTTATTATTTCATTTATTCTTAAAAGTTAAATAATATTAAACGTCCAAGAAACACTTTGTTGATGCATACAAAGCAAATAATATTTTATTGGTTTCTATATAAAACTCAAAAACAAAAACTGTAGTAATAGAGTACCTAACAAATGATTTGTTTTTTTACTGTTTTTGAATTCTATCTTAATTGCTGTATTGCCAGGTCCGCATCACATACATAGTCCAGTTGATGGAAATGATTTATCTTGCATGTATGCGTACCAGTATTTTCTCCAATATCGCGGAAGTGCTTTCAATCGATAACAGATTTTTCAAGTGTAAACGAATATTGATGGGATTGCATGAATTGTACTCGTGAATTTATTTTCCACGAAAAACAGATGGAAATAATATAATAAAACGAAACAGTATTTTCTCTCATTGAGTACTTCCATTACAATTTTGTACAATATTTCTCGGGTAGAATCACTTCTAATATTATTAATGACACTTTATTTATGAAATGCAGAAAATTAGTTATTGATTCAGTAGTCTCTTCGGTTTTCAAATATAAAGGGAGTTTCGATAGAAAAATATTCAGCCTCGTAATCTCTAAAAGAATATCCTGTAGATACTCGTTTAATTATATTTGTTGAGAGGAATCTTTCATTGTTATCGTATCCACGTTATTGTAAGGGTAAAATAATGACGAGGAACACGAGATAATAGGAGCTCAAGATTAAAAATTGCCCAAGGAAGCTTCCCTCGTATCTCGATAAAATAAAGAATCTTTGGCGTGGTGGGTAAAAGAATTGCGGTAGGTATGAAGAAGAGAGAGATAGGAGACTGAAAATTATTTCAGGCACGTAGCAGCCACCTTCAAGGAAGATCGAGAGAACAACCCTTCTTTAACTCATTAGCACCATTATTGATTTATATAACTTTTAAAACATCTTCCCAGCAAGATTAAACAACCCTATTACAAAATAAATGTCTTCAGTTACTTGAAATATTTACAGCGATCGTTTCTTTCCTATCGAGAAAGAAAAGGGGATGTTAATTCATTTAATTTAATCTTAATAAAATTTTAATTCGAGAGGGGGTCCCAAATGACAATCGCAATTTTTCCCGTAGATTTTATAGACCCATTTAATTTAGACATGATAATATTTAATAGTGCATGTGATGCTTGTAACGAGCAGCAACTTTAACAAATTGCATTCCGTTTCATCGACATGAAAAGAAGCAATTCTTTTTCAAGCGATCGCCACGGCGTAGCTATGTGTGTAGATTGTATCAAGGTCTGATTACATTAGTGTATCGATCTGATGGTTTCAACCCTTCGGGTAAGGTTAACGGGGTGGATTGCACTTCGTCCAACGTAAGGGTTTTCCTCCCCTTGAAACGTCGCGAGGAACGCGCCTGTCATTTTCATATTTGTCCATAAACAGGAAGCAACGTTTGTGATTGTTGTGTCAATAAAATGTACCTATAAAAATTCTGCTAATCGTCGGTATATCGATTCGACACTCATGAATGAGAACGTGCTCAGGTCTCGACCTACTTTTGACCTAGATTACTGCCGATGGGGCTCGACTTTGTTTCCGCCGCCATCGGAACGATGGGAATGTAATTAACGTTAAATGGAGCCAATTAACGTGGTTCGGTATATGTGTATATAAAATATGCTTTATCGTGAACGAGATTTCTTCGGTTTTATAGACATCTAGTTATATACCAAACGAATTGAATTTTTTAATAATTTTATTCAATTCGTCATTGTATCTTTGGCAAAAGAAAGAATTTAATAATTAGCATACAATCTTTTTAGTGAAATTTGTGATAAGGTCTAAATACTTGTCATAAATTGATGCTATAATTTGAGCAAAATTTTAAATCATTTTTATCAAAGATTCAATATTTTTTGCAATAGATACTTTATCTGAGCAGATGCTATAAGTTAATTTCACAAGAATTTCCTATTTTATCACTGAATATTACAGTTTGTTTTTTTCAGATAAAGCACGATAAATGTTTCGTGACATGTGCAGTGAAATACGTTATCCGAATGAATATCTCGCTCGGAACACAACATAATTTGCGATTGTCCTACTCTATTTTGCGTACCGTAGCTTCTTTAAGTCGCGTCCTCGACATAAAGTACAGAGAGACACGCAAACCGCGGCATTATTATTCTCTCTGATACCACGATGTCTATGACTACGCTACGTCTTTGGAAAACTGTTCTATGAATACAATGTACGATTTATTTCGTTATGAAAACCATTAAACAGTACTAATTACACAGACTTACAATAAACATAAAAGTTTAAACATAAACTTTCAACGTTAACCCCAATTTTATTGTGTTATTAAATTTTAGTTTCTATTTAAAAAATGGTACACCAAAAGTTGTTTACAGTTCATTCTTTATTCGAAATTTTTCACCTAGATAAGAATTTACAAATCTCTGCTGCATAATAGATATCGATCAGTTGCCAAGTTTCCGCTGGATTATAATAAATATTTGATCTGAAATCTCTCGAACGTGCGTGACGCGACTGCATGAGCGGAGAGAGTGGGAAACAATCTTTATTAATATGCATGCTTCGATTTCAGGCGTGGAACGTAATTTTGCAACGTTGGCTTCATTACAATTCGTTAATAAATTCCCACAGAGTCCATATTCGTATTTCTGCAACGTATTATTAATAATATATTTTGAATCACCATATGTTTTATGCAGTTATATTCGTAAAAATAAGCATTTAGATGTTTGCAACCGTGAAGAAATGTAATTAATACCAAGCGGTACTAAAGTACACGCTCAACACATTCTATTCGCGATTCTAAATGTCGACTGCCGTGCAACATGCAAATTAACCGTTTTATTACCGTTTTCAACGTCTGTGTATATTCGACAAAATTATTCAAATCTTCTGCGTGCATTCGTACGTAAGCGATTCATTAAGTAGGTTATTTTTTCGTGACCTATGTTTGTATTTTCTCTTCTTCTATTTAACGTATGAGACGGTTTAAACATTGAAATCGAAAGTTCTAAGGACATATTTCTCAATGTGGCAAATTTTATCCATTTTTACAATAACTCTGAAGAAGCATGTCGTTTTTTTTTTTTAAATGTTTATCTTTCGAAAAATGTCCTTTCTGTTATAATAATTTGTATAATGTATGAATTAAAAAAGTTAAGGAAGCAAGGGTCACATCTTGTTAAACAATTATTTTATTATAAACGACACACGTAAGTTGCGTTATATCATACATACATATATTGTTATAAATATATTCGGAGGATAAACGAGTACCACATAAATATATGTTTATTCATATAAGTACAGATTTGTTTAACTTGGGTTTTTTTATACCACCGACACACTTAACCCTTTCGCTGTTTAAATAGAATACTTTCAAAAATTAGTATCATTTTCTTTGTAATATTTGTAAATTTGCATGATTCTTAATTTGGCCCGTTTAGTAGTGGTTCATATTAACACACTGAAAGTGTTTTAGTATATATGAATTAGAATTACTTTTAATTAAGAGTCTCGTTTCACCGAAGGTTCGGAGTATCTACCATGTTTCGCAGTATTTATCGTAAAGATATTTTTGATTTTTAATATTTTGTAGCGAAAGAGTTACGCTATTCGAAGACACGAGTGATTATATTTTATCGACTTTTAGCGTAAACGGAAGAAGGCACATAGAGCATGATGAATTTGAAAATGTATAAACTCTGGTGGTTCGAGGGCATTTTACACGCGTTCAAAAGACACTGGTTTATTTTTGTGTATATTACATCAGCCTATCTATTTTATTTACGAGAAAAAGAGTCAGAACAACAATCTATTTTCTAAATAAAAAAAAGTACAATTTGTCATATGCATTGAATAGAAATACCTTTTACGAAAGAAAAGTTACATTTCTAAAAATTTAAAACAAAAATTTCTTCATTAATATGAATTTTATTTTTTTTTTAAATCTAATTCTTTGAAACATTTTTGAATGTTTAATGCTCTAGAAGATTTCTAAAATGTATACGTTAATCCTTATAAATAACATTTAGATTTTTAATATAGATTTCAAATTAATGTAAAGTTTGTTAAACATAATTGTTCTGTCTCTCATTTACCTTAAATAGTTTAATATTGTTTTAAACGAACGAGTGATTATGAAAGTTATATAATACAGTTTGGATTCCTGTTCCTGTACGCAATTAAAAAAGTTCCACGCTACATAATTTTTACATCAATCTACGACACTGTATTCGATTATAGCCACTTGCTTTACTTATCGTAGATGAAACACTGAACGATGCAAGGATGTATCGTTATCAGCTGAACAACTCTTCACACTGTACAAAATTAAAAATTCTACTTGTTCTACTCAAAGTCACGTACGAAAAATAAGAAACCTTAATCAGAGATATTAAAAAATGATCTCCTCGTTGAATCGTAAATGACGATTGTAAATTAATAATAAAGTCACAGGTGTATTGTTATCGTTACTTCTGATAAAAAATATATTAATTCTGGACTTTATCCCAGCTAAAATTTAAATCTAGACAGATTTCGAGTTGCGTTACTTTCGCGATATCGTACGTAACATTACACATAGGCAGTTGTAGCGCACGAAACGAAATGTTATCAATATTATTTAATGTTCAGCTATTCGTTTATATAATTTATATTTCGCTTCGCAACACCATAAACGTTAGAAACGACAAATGTACGTTCGTTGACGGTCGAAACTCGAGATCATCCGAAATGAATTCGATTTTTCGCCTGTGTATATGTATGTTTATAATCATTCACAGTAATGTATATACTAATCTACTTTGTACATCGAAAGCATCGCGGTAACCTTTTGTTCGTGCTTTGAATTTATCGCGCACAAGTAGAGACAATGAATTTTTTAACGACTAGCCGAGTGAATGCGTTTTGATTTCGCGCGAATCCGGTTGCCATTTTTTGTCCCAGTTTCTTGTTCTTGGGGATATCGATAGACCTAAAAAGTACTACGCGTGGGATCATCTTTTAATGGTATGAACTTGCAGCATCGCGAGTCTGTGAAACAGTTTTCCAATCAACTTTATTAGAACTTCGTCTTCTTTGCAGAGGTCGAAATGTGAAGATTCTGCTATAAGTTCTGTTAAAACAGTGCAAACGTAACTTCTATGAAATAAGTTCTCGTGTTACGAGTTCTGATGAGAGCAGGCAAATGAAAGTTGATGGAATTGAAAGCTCCAGGTTGAATAAAATTCATGAGAAATAAATATAAAAAAATTCGCGTGTTTTCTCATGATCGATACCGAAGAACTCTCAGTCACTTTTACATTTTCACTTTGCGACTTCTATTTACTCTTTGTTTCTATATTGTGTACAATGTGATGATATATTATTTAATGAAACTATTAGATACAAAGTAGATACAAAGTTTTATTTGTTTTATGAAACTTATATCATGAGTGATGATACCTGTTTAACAAGTATAATTTTTCAAATAATTTCGAAGATAAATACATTTTTCTAAAAAAAAAACAGAAGTATACGTTTCAAGTTTCAACAGAAATAAAAAGAATAAAAGACAATCATTTTTCGATCTCTGCTTTGTTGACTTACGTTTCTTTCAAGACTGATTGCTAAAAGTAAGTCGACTTGTAAATGTAAGTTTTCGTCTTAGATTTAAAAATATTCTCCTCTCGAGGCAAAGTGAGAATTATCTTTACAAATAGAGACTCGTAGAAAATAAATCGTGTTATGATCTAAAGATTCTTTTGAGATTAGTTTGGTATAAACATTAAATGTTATTTTGTCAAATTTATTGTACGAAATAGTCAGAAAATGTTCAAGGCATCTGTGATAATGCAAAGTGTACACAGAGTGTATACAAACGTTGAGACAATCACGTAATTACTTTGGCCCCTAATATGGGTAATTTTTAAACGTTTCGTTTTTTGCCGTACTTTCATATTATTTTCATTTGGGAAGACGACCTAAGATCCATTTAAAATTTCATCCTATTCAGCGTATCTCTAACAACTCGACACTTAGCACTTGTTAACAGTATTTGTGCCTAACCAAACGTTTCTGCTGGTTCCATTTATCATACATAGTGATTTCTGCAACGATTAATGTTCAAAGCAGGGAATTTTACATTCACGCACAGTTTTTGTGCGCTCCTCTTGAAAGTGCAGCTTAACGAATGGAATTCAAAAGCTTGAACCTTGTAAGTCTAACGAAAATAAATAATATTTCGTTTAAGACTGATAAAAAGCATTACGTTCACTGAAAAATCAGTCTTTTTAGAATGTCTCTTTTAATTCATCCCTTGATATTGAACCCTAGGATGACTTTTGAGATCTTGACTTACTCAATCATGTATAGAATATTATTTTGTTCGTTAGTTTGGAATAATAATTAATTATTTTAATTAAGTAGTCGTTCTACTGCATTTTTTATTTTCCTTCGTGTGTATCTATCATGAACCATAATGTGTTACTATTTTGTACAAATTATCTTCTTTTTAAATGCATTTAACTTAAACCTGATAAAGTTAACATTCAAAGGTCTCAAGTCACCCAAGAAGTTGAACTTGACAGTAGTGGTCCTAAGGCGAATATTTGCAATTACTTTCTGCAAAAATTAACATAATATTCCCAGTTAGCTACACCGTAATTTCCAGTTTACTATGTCGTAAAAGTGTGCCAATAAATGGAGCCGACGATCATATCCAAGAAAGCATACAGTTGCCACCGTAGACATAGCAATGCAGCCGAAGCGGTCGCACAGACGGTTCGACTCGTGTCTGAAATGCATTATCTTCCGGGACAGTCGAGCTAAAAAGCACACACGTCCGCACTGTTTTCACCAGTACAAAGACGTTCTTTTATAAAACACGATTAATTCCCACCGCGCCGGTCGACGTTTACCTCCGTACACGTAACATTGTACGCGTTCGCCATCGATTCCACAAAGCGTGCCCCCGGTCGCATGAAGCACACAACGCATGTAAAGTTCGCGGGAACGTTCGCTCGAGCATCGATCAAATCCACTGTAATTTTAATCGCGACGGAACGACGCTCGACGTCCCCGTTAAAACGAGTCCTCAGCCTCGTCGGTGTCGATCAATGGCACCCTCTCGTATCGTAGAGCGGTGCTCGTCCCAGGCGGCTTAAACTGCTAAAGCGCCATACTTTTGATCTCGTTCTCATTCATCTGACCCTGAGATGAGGAGGGTGTCGCCTCCACCAATCCTTCGTCCTCGCCTTCGACTTCCTGCTTGTCCACGCAGTATCTGCACCGCATCTTGGCGTCGTCGCCCACTTGCACCGACCGCGTTATGATCACCAGCGTCGTCAGACTGATGACGAACAGCCCCGTGGGCACGATTATGGCGATCAGCAGCTCCGTTCGCGTCTTCTTCAGGTCGAAACGCGCCACCACCATGAACGAGTTGTTCTGGAACAAAACAGGATTCGAACCGTGTGGTCAGAAATAGGGGAAGCGGTGGCGGATGAGTCATCGCCCCGTTGAATCGATGATTTTGTGTATTCCAAGTAGGAGGACTTCGATGAATTTGATATATTATGTAGCCCATGTAGAATTAGGGAGGGTTTAAGTCATCACTTTAATGGATTCGTGTTTATTTAAAAGATACAGGACGTCGAAGTTTGCGAGTTTTATTTACCTACCATATTGAGTTCACTTTTTGTGTTTTTTCATTGAGAACATTTTGGCAGTGTGAACATTATTATTTTATTTGGCAACTTTCTGGTCGAAGGTGCGTGGTCAAAAACGTTTCAAGCATTGATTTAACGAGATAAACAAGAAGAGAAACTTGTGAAACTAGGCAAAAAATGATATCCGAGAGTAATTTGTTTTTAGGTCGGAGTTCAGCTCCAAATCTTACGTTAGATTAAGAGTTACCAGTGGTGACTTTTGGGTATCCCGATGAAAAATGAACTTTCCTGTTTCCCCGGCATCGGTCTTTCCAATATTTTTATACCTCTTCTGACTGCAAAGGATTACCTCTACATTTTTCTGACTTATAGGAGTTGTTTGTCGTCTACTCGGAAGTATCGTACTTCGTCAATGTCATGTACCTCATCGTTGATACCACGCGCGATGAAAAAGGTTAGAGAGTTGATAAAAAATGTATTCCGTGTAACGTTTCAAATATGGATTCAATTGGAAATGAAATTTAACGTACCACGGGCTTCTTGTTCCCCCAAAGGGAATCAACGAACATGGTTTCAATTTCGTAAGGCTTAGGGAAATATCCCTGAGGGCAGGAATGTGCCAAATAACATAGAATAACATCCGTGACATAAGCAAGTTTTAAAAATGAAAATATCATTCTCGTCGGATGGAAGATGCGAAGAAACTTAAATGCAAGATAAAGCAACAACCTGACGGGCTGTATTTTTTAGCAGTTGTCCTGAATTCCATTCTGAGAAGAGATAAATATTTTTTAAACAATGTCATTTGGTCCAAATACGGTATGTCTAAGTTTTTAAAAATGACATGACCCTTATCGATTAGTAATGTAACTTTTGAATTTATGTATTTAGTTTTAACGTTTCAATTATAGTATCCTATAATCCTATATCCTATAATTATAGTATCCTATGGTATCCTTGATACTAATATTTACTTGCCTGGAACCGCAAGTTAACTACCAGCATGCAATTACTACACCAGGATTATATTTCTGGCCAGTACAGCAATAAATAGAACAAATGTTTAAGGGTATCTAACAATGATCATAACAATCTATTCTATCAGGGGTTTTCGGGGTCGCTGATTCCAAATCTGTACTCAGAATTTAGAAATTTAAAATGGCTGATACAACATAACGACACAAAATGCGAAAAATGACTCATTTTAGATGAAATTGGTATACAAGGGGTTTTTCAGGTCGCTGATTCCAAATCTGAACTCAAAATTTAGGTATTCAAAATGGCGGATCCAATATGGCGGACCAAAATGAGAAAATTGATTCGATTTGGATGAAACTTAATATACAGGGGTTATTAAATATACCTGTAGCTATTTCTATACTACATTCGATTAGTGTTAGATTTACAGAATGTTAGCGTACTATTTCAATTTGTTCCGCTCTATTTATCTCATGCTACATTAGTCACATGCCACCTTAAATCGTTCTCGCGACAAGGTCGTTCGGGAAACACGAAGAGCGGTAAATGAAATATTCGTTTGACGTCCAATTTCACGGCACCCGTTGGAAATTCTATGAAAAGCAATTCTTAGTCTTCACGAATTTTTCTTTTTAAAACAACTATACGAATTTAGAATAAAATATGTAAGAAATAAAATTGAAAGGATAACAGCAATACAAGATTGTTTGTTTTGTTGTATCCACTTTAATTTCCATTATTTAAAAATTATCTAGCAACAGAAGCAGCTCATTATTATTCTATTCAATTCCATGTAAAGATTAATTCAAAACTATTTTGTTATTTCTCTAAAACAGAAGAAAAATACCTATTGTTAGAGGCTCCAGTGATTCACTGGTGCAAGATAATTTCATTGGAGATCCAATTAATGGAAACGAACAATGCGCGCGCCAGACCTTCCAGAGGTAGAAACACATTGTTGGTATTGAACAAGATGTAATTCTCTCAAATTACTCATTAAACCATTTCCTGGAAAAAGGAGGTAGCAATTTCGCACCGCTTTTATCTATATGCTCGTCGAAACGTTCGAAAGCGCATCGCTCGTTTCCATTGTTATCGCAACACGAAGCGCAGAGTAATTGTGCTGTGGATCTGTAATTTGAAAGGAAGTCTCCAATGACACGTCAGTCGCTGCTTCCAATGCTTTAAAAATGATTTTTCCCGTCCAGCGGAGTTTTACTATGGAAGGATTTAAATAAACGTAATTGGTCGCAAGTTTCTACTGCATGAAATAAAATGTCGTTATGCGAGTTTGCTAATTGAGTTTAATAGTTAACCAAACGCAGAGGAAAACGCGGTGTGTAATTTTCTTAATGAGATTATTTCGTCGTGATTGCAACGTTATTTTAGTTCCTATCTCGATGTTTCATTGCGAAATATCATTATTAATCAAGAGTGTAAAAAGGACTCACTTTGTAAAAAGGACAAATTTTACACGAACGAAAAATGCTACATTCTGTCTTCTCCAGCAATAACTCAGAATCACGCAAGAGAGGATTCCGTAGTTCGGTCTCGGAACATTGAACTGACAAAAACGTTACACAAACAGGTCGATACATCAGAACGAATGGACGACGATGTCGTTATGGAAAATAACGTACCTTGTTGTAGTAGCAGGGATATCGACTCTGGGCCGTTTGATTCACGCCATCCCGTCCGTGAGTGGCAAGAAACTCTTTACATTCCCCTTTAAGTGTGTTGACACAACCTTCCAGGTTTATATAAAGACGCGAATTATTGTAGATCGTGAGCGATCGCTGCGCTGGCACGTAGGCGTCGGTTGGATCCAGAGGATTCTGCAAGCTCTTCTCATATATAGTCAGAAAGCTCGTAAAGTTGATGTACGGCTGGGGCACCGGGATTTCCTTTAACAAGGTACCGTTGACGCAATCCTCCGTCCTGCGAAACAGATGTCGGAATAGGATTTATCCCTTGGAATATCGTTGCGAATACAAACACATTTATGCTGTTTGAAAATTCCATTTACCATTTCAAAGTAAACAATTTCTCAGCTATCAGCCTGTCAATTTCAAGATAATCGATATCGAAAAAGAATATTTTCACTACGTCTCGAATGTGTATCACAGATGTATGTACGTATAGAGAATAGTAATTTTGTTATTAATTATCTTCCCTATTTTCTTTCCAAAGGTGAAGGAAGTGGGAATTTAATGTTAATGGTTTTTGGAAGCACAAAATCTATAATATATAATTACTAATACATTTCATTTATCATTCTGTTTGCCAATATTCGACTTGTCTGGTCTGTCTTATTCTACTACGTGGTCAGACCAGAAACTGGGACCGCACGTGTCCAGGCGCAGTGACAATATCTAGCTTGTCTGAATAAGTATGCCTTGTTCTACTGCCTGATCTAGTAGAGTAGAATCGTAACTGTGCAAGTGCAGTAATAATATTCTAATAAATATCCTGTCTTAACTGAGATTGTACTGACCCAAGAGTTTGAATCAGACTGTTTAACGCCAGGCAATGTAATTCACTTTAATTTGTAGAATGAACGTTTGCAAACTTTCTCAGTAAGGTTAATGTCTCCATTAGCGAATTCATTTCTTCGTTGACTGTTTCTTTCCATTTTCTCTCACGAGTGACAGATAAATTGGATTTAGGATTAACTTGTAGAACACAGCCTTATTCACTGAACCTCGTTCTTTCACCCTACTACGATAGAATGTAATTCATCTACTTTCATTTTGTTTTTAATTAGTACCAAAAATGTCTTCAATTAGACATAAAGAGTACGAATACTTATGGGACTGACTGTATGTATCTGTTATACTTATTTCTAAACGATTACATTTTCCTGTCCACTAATTATTTTTCTGAGATCCGTCTCTTAGAAAGCCACCTTATTATTGAACAAAACTCCCTTAGTTTCATGAAACTTTGTTGATCAAACTCAAAACGTAATCGTATCTCCTCGTTCGTACGTGGTCGATACTTTATTTTCTGCTTGCGCTCCTCCAAAGTTACATTTTCGTTTCCCAAGCAAGTGGCAACCGACGACAAACAAGATCCCTGATAAACTTAATATTTCTCCCAACTGTTTCGTCTCGTAAACACATCCCAAGCGAAACGATCCTTCTGTTCTTGCAAAAACACTCATACACCGTTTCGGGAACGAGCTTTTCTTATTGGTTCGCGAAAGAACTCCTTAGTCCAACGAAACGTTCGCGAAAGTGAAACAGCGTGACGAACGACCCGAATAAAAGGAACACAAGGGTTACACACGAGTCAGAAAAATGTGGCCTTCGACTGGCGAATCGGGCAAAGCCGCAAGATCAATGGTTGCCATGGAAATACCCTTATCGGCGTGTCTTCTAGCCTCTAAGAACGAGAATATGCGGAAACGCTACGTGTCCCTCATAGGGAGTAATTGACACTACCACGTGTAGGGGTGCAATTAGAAAGGAACTCATATCGCGTGGTGGAATTTCATTTTCAGAAACGACATCAACGTTATCATTATTGTTTGTGTTTTACCATATTCGAGGCTGGGTTAATAATCACATAGCGAGTTCTCGAGTGTATACAGTAACGTATACTTATTTTTAATTCCATACATTGTTCGCTTGCTTTTTTCTATTCGGTATTTTATTCAAAACTTGTTAATATTTTATTGTACGGATATTTACTTGGAATCACACTCATTCGATATAAATTCAACTAGGTACTTTCAGTATTCGTTAAAGAACAATAACTTTCTAGAAAATCGTATACTCTCTGACTTTATTTTTGACGATCTGTAGCATTCAATTTATATAACAAAAATGTTGTGATCCATCTTTGAAAATTCAAACAAATTTAGCCTTTTCATGTAGAAAAATAAGGAAAAATAAAAGTCAAGCTTGAGCATGCATTAAGGATTCTGGCTTCTCAGTTTTCTTGAGCGAACCTACAAATGTATAAACAAACTTTAAAATTCGTTTTTATATAGTCGTATAATAATTTTCAATTAAAAGACAAACTAATATTTTCTCTAGAAGTTCATTGAAATTTCCACGCCAAGCCCCCATTGATGGAAATTTGTGCGTGAACTCGAGATTCCAGGCGAACGGTGTTCCAGGAATATGATTATGACGTGCTTCTTCGTTTTCGGATATTGCACGCTTGAAGATTTCGAGAAGATTCCGCGTTAGTTTCACAGATAACGGGATCGGGAGTCAATTTCGAGAACGGTGAATGGCTTTTACGCGAGGTTACACAATCGATGTCGAGATTCTTGGTGGCTTCTGGCGAATCCATTGTGTACCATCGCTTCTTACTCCCGGAGTACGAGTTTTTGCGAAAACTACGGATCGTTGGGATTGAAAGGAGGAAAATACGAGGGTGGAACGGAGGGAGTCGGCCACTTTAGCTCCGAAGATGTTGACCCCAGACGCGACCGAGTGCGACGAACTCTTGGCCGCGTCTCCTCTCGGGATCACCTTGCTCGCACTGGGCTGACACTGAACCTATTCGGCTCGATAATATGGATAATCGCGGAGCTGTTTGATCCCTGATATCTTAATTACACGGCTAGACATTGAGTCTACTCGAATTCACGATTCCCTCTCGGAGGATTTGCGATCTCAGCTGTCGTAGTGGATTGATGTCGTTGGTGGATATCGACTGAACCATCAGACTGGCACTGTGCAATAGCTTAGCGTGCAATTGTCTTAACTCGAGCTCTGGGTTCATCGTGGTGATTTTACGGCTGTGTTGTAGCCGACTCGTTTAAAATTACGAGCTTAGGAAACCTTACTCATTAATAAATAGTGTTGGGGACACGATAGTGCTTCTGAAATTTTATTACGAGATGAAATAATTGTTTTTCTAATAAACAATGATTCTACAGCTTTAATTTGTTCATTTAATGTTGTTACTCTTTTTAATAATGAACCGTCAGTGACTTTAATATATTCATATATTTAATTTTAAATTCATTTGTATTTTTAGGAATGTGAAACTCACGAACCTAACAGGCTCTGAACTTGCATCTCAATACTGCAATTAATTAACGATTGTCTGTTTAATAAATAGTAAAGTCATTCCATCGAATTGATAGACATTCAGCCTACCCGATCGTACAGCTCCCATCTAGCGGATTTGCATTCGTGATCTCGTTTGCAACGAAGGATTGATGTCGTTAGCTGACGTCGTCTGACCATCAGTACGGCATTATGCAACAGTTTAGTTCATCGTTAATTGAACTCAGGCTTTATCTGCATTCAAATTGTTCTTTCTTACGATTGAAGTAAAAATGTCTTACCTCACGATTTTTTTGTCTTTGGTGACAGCGATACAGCTGGCGACGATGCTTCCATTTCGGTCGTCCCAAATTTTCAGAGGCGTGGCCAGCCTTGTGCCAGGTAAATTCCCATGTGCCGTATTCAGGGCTAGGCCGCGAGTACATTTCGCAGTGATGATGTTGTCGTCTTGCATGAGAAACACGTTCACGTCGGACGTGCTGATCTTCGGGCAATAGCGATCGCATCTGAACGCGTACTTGATCTTCGTGCATCTGGAGCTCTGGCAGCTGAAGTATCCGTTCAGCTTAACGTTGTCTTTCTCGCTGTCGACGACAATGCCGTCTGCCTTGTGATGGCACAGCATCAGCTCACTTATGTTGGCACAGTGGCCGAGATTGCAGTCGAATACTCCAGAAAGTACGCTGCACTCGCTGCCGTTGTTGCAGTTGTATTTTTTCAAGGAAGCTATGTTCACCTGACAAGAGAGATTGGTCGATTTTGAACGATCAGAAAACTAAAGGTCAAATGAATAAAATTGATAGTCGATGTTATTAGAAATGGGAATAAATTTTATCCTTATAAGTAGAGAACGTCAAGCACAAGTCAGTCATAACTAGTTTTATTTTAATTCGTTGTCAAAATTAATAAACTTAGAAGTAGAATAGAAGTAGAACATATACAAGTTTTTAAAAATGTATTCAATATTACTCAAGCCATCCTAAAAATTTGGGAGATTCAAGTATGTAGATATTAACCCCAGAGGTTTTGCACTCACGCAACTCGTTTCTTTCATTTTTGGGGCACTCCCCAGAGTGTAATCTATATTCTGCCATCTGACACGCTTACCCTTTCCTCGGATCGAAATTCAACGTGATTGATGGTTATTTCTAGATTGGTTTCATTGCTACCTGCCGCTTACCCATCATCGTGATAAGCAATTATGCATCGTATGAGACAGTTCCAGCTATATGGAACACTTCCTTGAAATATATCAATATTCTCAAACTTTCGTATTCAAGTACGTCCATGGCCATAAAGATTCCGATTTTAAGGCCATTTTAAGCATCCTGCATATTCGATTTTCAATCACTATGCGTAGCACTATGTTGATCGATAAAAGGTGCGGCGGATGAGTAGGACAGGAGCCATTAGAACTAGATCGTGAACGTTACGTAGCAGGTAACGAGGTTATCGCATCAAAGTAACAGGCGGCAGAGTATATTCATTACATTAGCAAAACTCGCCGATATCGCTAACATGCGCAGCGAACTCGATTTTTGCTCGAAAAATTGTTGTTCGCCCCGTGTACAACGCATCTAACGCATAACAAATTTCTGTAAAATAAGGCAGATTAACCTTGTTTCTCGGTTGCGTTACCCTGTCGAAACGATTTCCTTTTTTTCGCCCTTTCCACACGTCTGCTCGACCTTTCCAGAAAGCACTTTGCGCGAAAGGTACTCGATCCACACGCAATATGGTCTTTTTATCGACTCTCTTGCGCTCGACTACATTAACCGGAGTACCGTTTACAAAGTGCCAGTGTGACGCGTTAAAACGGCTACTGTGCGATCATTTTTTCTTTCGATCTTCCCCCGCGTAACTGAATTTTCCACGGTTAACGTCGTTAGTTCTGGAAATTTACCCTTGTCAAAGAGTTTCATTAAAATTTACCTGAATCTGCGGCAAAACTTTAATACTATACCATTGAATATTATTAAATGTTACTATATACACATTCAATACTTATTTTGGTAACAACAAATAGTATTGTAATAATTTACAGGGTATATTAACCCTTCGAGTGCCAAGAAGCGATATATCGTTGTTCGAAGCTGTAAACTCTATAACTACGTATAACAACAATGAGTAAAGAACAAATAACTGAAAAGAGTCATTTTAACAGACAATAAATTATTTTCATTTGCGAATAAAATGCAAGTTCGAGTTTTTGTGAAAGTATTTTCTTTATACTAATATATATGTATTGTTAAACCTATAACGTTTTATTTTTACACACAGCTAATTAAAAAGGGAGTCAGCTGCTATTTATCCGAACGGATAATCAACTCACTTCACTCGAAGCAGTATAAAACACGAGAAGTAGAATTTTAGTACGACTGTTGACGCAGCCCCTGAATTATTTCCAATGGAAGATGCGATACGCCCGACTGGAGCAAACAATAAGATTCAAGTGGTTGCCCCAGGAAGATCGACATTGCATGTGACACGGGGAAATAAAATTCTGAGAGTCGAAGCTTTCACGACCGCGGTGTCTGCATGGGCATCTTGTAATTGCTGTTGTTTTAGTCCTTGTCGCGAGTAATTTGATATGGATCGATTTTAATTTGTTCTAATTCGTTGTCAATTCTCTATTCAATTTTATATTCCCTCTTAATGACGAAACGTTTTTGTTATCAGTTGAATGCAGTTCTTCCAATCGAGTAATGCTTGCTTTCACTATTTCTATGATTCATGTATATGGAAAACGTTTTCTGTAGTATTGAATCGCATTGTAGCATCGCAGTAATTCGATGGAGTCTCAGAATTGAAAAAGATAACTGAATTGATAGACGGTAAATTGCATCGCTTTCGTTACCTATAGACACAAGCGTAAGTGAAAGATTCAGGGTATAGGATACGGCACTAGCGTCGCGGAGTGCACCCTTAGAAGTTATCAAACACGATTTTCCGAGAAAAGAAACTCATAGTGGAAAAATCCATTTTACAATTTCAACTTGCTCCTGCACAAAGCCTTTCTTATGTCGCTACAAATTAAGCTTCACCTGGTATAGTTCGAATCCCGTGCTCGTTAGCTACAATTCACTTTGTTTATGGTAGTGTTATAATATAAGACAAACAGAGTAGATACTAAATTATTATTCAAATCGATAATCATGAATGCATAAATATCCCCAGGCAAATTATAACTTTGACATGAAATGCAAATTCAAATTGATATTTACGTTTTCCCATTCCATTCCAAACTAAGATTCAAGATTTGTTATTTCACGATAAGGTCAGATGTTCTTCCGATCAACAAATGCGAAAGGGCGTTGATATCAAGGGAGATAATGGAAAATTGTTGTTTCCTGTGAGATTTATCGTGCTTGTAATTTAACAAGTGTCGGATGATCCGTGAACCTCATTTTCTTGCACGTTTCAACGGAAAGCACAGTTTTCAAGTTATTACGATCAATTTATTCCGCAATGCATCTCGGACTGGAGAAAATAGAGCACGGTTTCTGGGTACCTATTTGCCTGCCTAGGGCGTTACAATCGGAGAAAGGTTCACTACCATGAGAAAGAAACAGATGTATGCAGTTGGTATGAAAGATTCGAGAATCTTTCAATGGTACATTCTTCTAACATTTTAACCTTTTGGGAACGATGAACTCGTGCACCTGCTCGACGATAGTAATCGATATGAACTTACATCAATATTTGATCAATAATGTTAGCTTGTACTCCCAGAATGAGCATGTAAATATATAATATAGAAATATTTGTTCTTAAATAGTAGTGAAATAGAAATATAATTACTTGAATCGACGAACATGTGACATTAAAGTTAAAAGCATGGGAAACTCGGTGAAGAGGAATTAAACGTTGACGTTAGAGCATACCTGTGGACAGGCTATACTGTTGAATTTCGTACAGTTCTCGAAAACGATGTCTGTTCCATTCCTCCTCACGGTTGCGTGTATCTGAGGGCAAAATCCGGTGGTCCTTGTTAAGCACCACTCCCCGCAACTCGCCCAGCCGCAATTATTAGCTAAGGTGGTGTTAATGGTTTGGCACATGACTGGATCCGGATCGATCCCAGCGTGAAAGGCTCTGCAATTAATTGCGTCGACTTCATTAATATTTCTCCCCGAGGCACTTCGGTTATCGCGTGACAGAACACAATATTTCAAACACTCGGTGGAACGAATTTTTCGATGCGTTTATAATGTGCCTCGACTCTTGCCGTTAGTGAAATTATTTTAAAATAGTATTTTTTAACATTGGCCACGTGGATAAAGGAGAATCACGTTTACGCATGGATTTGTAACTTATGATTAACACATTCGCAACCGGCGAATATTTTACGTTTATAATACCGAGTACTAACAAAAATAATACAATTCTGAAGCCAGACATCGTTAATTTGTATCCTTAGGGCGAAGACAAAAATTATAAAATATGTTTTGAAATATCACTGTTGTAAATATGTAGTTCATAAAATAAAAAAGATTTTCATAATTTTTTCATAACCAGGAATAGAATTTGGAGTGGAATTCACGTCAGTGGTCACGAATGTGTTAATTTTTAATTTTAATGAAGAACATCCAACGAATTGCTATGACAATCTCAAGTTAATAAACAAACATCTTAAAAAATGTATTGAAATCTTGACAAAAATCTTCTTGAATTTTAGAGTTGACGACTGCGTGTACCCCTTTAAGGATTTATACCAGAAACCCTAAACTTTAAGTAGCCACACAATAAAACGGGATTTTTTCGCTCGACGGACGAGGAAATCCCCTCAAGTTAGTTAAAGTCACGGTCAGACATCGGGTTATAGATCTCCTAGAAAATTAAGGCCGATCGAGTCGTAACTTCATTACGATCGGCCTTGGTCAATTAATCGATGCAGCCTTGTCGTTTACCTGTGGGACGGCATGTAGATTGCCACGCTCAGATAAACAAGCGCTACGCAGCTGATGACAATTGTAAACTGACAGAAGCAGATACTGCCGCATATCCTGCGATCCTGTTCCGGTATCAGACGGCGTTTGTGCTTCCGGCCCATCGCGAGTATCCGATCGAATCACTTGTTGCCCTTCTTTTCCCGTGAAGCGTACTTCAGCGGTAATCTTAAAACTGATTAATCCAAGTGGTTCTTCGCGAGGCGTGAATTCACTTCAAACGCTGCGCCATTTCGAACCACTCGACCCGAATTGTTTTCATAAAGAAGAAATTCCAGTTATCATCGATTCCTCTTATTTGAAGTTCGTAACAGCACGCTGTATACGGTGCAATTGTTTATTTCACGTGCAAGGTAGAAGTCGATTCTTTCTGTAAATAAAATTGTGCAGTTTTACATTTTGGGTGATAAACAGATCATTGTTAGAAATTAATAATTTATATATATATTTATTTATTTATTTATTGTTGCATCAGCTTGTAAGCCATTAGCGACCACTGTGAGTTACATGTTCATTTATATATGTGAGACATAATATCCGTATCATTTTTGTGTACATCTTTTTGATGTATCATATTGGAAAGCAAATCTAACGTCCCTTATAATAAACATGATTATTTACAGATCTGAAAAGTTTGTATCGTGCAGTAGCGCGTGATGTGAATTTACCAACTCGTTTGATTCTGCCAAAGGAATAATACAAGATACGTGCCTGTTGCATTCATTTTTAAATTAAGCGACGAAACTTGTTGCTCGCTAGAATCGATTTATTTTCTTCGCGTGAAAGAACTATGGCTTCCAAAGATGTAATTTAGCTCGCAAACCTCTGCGTCTACGTTAACAGTTCGGATACTTTTTCAAAGAAGTTACTGAAATTTGTAAGCCTCGACACGATTCAGAACAGGTGTCTTGGTCGCTCGGCCACGCAAACACATTTATCACGAGCAAACCTTTGCGTTAACATTGATTCCAGGGTTCCACGTGCCACGAAAATTCTCTGTTACGACGTGGGCGTAGTCAGAGGGGAAATTATTTGCTTTTCATTAAGAAAGCCTCTTAACGAATCGATCGTTTCCCCGTATGAAATTGAAATTTAAAACAGAACAAAACGTTCGACGGAGTTTTGACTGCGAAAGGTCGTCTGAAACATCGATTTTCCAGTTATATAAGATTTTACATGAAGCATGAAGCATGACACGCGATGAAGATCAAACTCTGATTACGTAATTGATTTTAAATTATAACTCTTTTCGTAAAAGAATTTAGATTTATAACAAAAGTATTTTCAACGTTACACAAGGAGGGAAAATTATGAAAAATTGGGAGATATTAAAAGGAAATTTTAAAAATTGGAGGTTTCCAGATATAATGTAGTATTTAAGAATCTTTTTTAATCAAGCTGAAGAGCTCGAATCTGTAAAGAACTGTGCGTCGAGTGGCTCCTACCCAGAAGTAGAAACATACAGAAGTAGAAGTGGGGAACTTAGTATCGATTGAGTGACATCGTTAGAAGCAACTCTTCTAGGCATCTACTAGCTCCCTTTGCGTACAGTCCTTCGTCTGAAGCTCATATCGTGTGACCCTCGACTTTTCTGAAGATGTGAGTCACCGTTCCTATGAATCCCGAGCCTGGTAAAGGCCAGACAATCTACGAAGTTATTGATTCATTTTCGCGGAAAGGAAGACATCAACGAGTTACTTGGACGAGTAAATGTCATTAGAAACTCGTAGTGTAGGCGACTATTTCTAATAGTTAGTCCAAAGAGGGAGTATTTATTGATAGTTTAGAGAGCTCAGCTAGGGTGAACGAAAGGTTCAAACGTCACCCTAGGAACACGATCGATCGATACTTTTATTCCTTGGAACAGGTAGAAAGACTGATACTTATATTCATCGATCATCGACTGACTACGAGTAACGTGTACAAGGTATCTCATTCTGAAGGCATAGTTTGATACTTTGCGATGGAAGTTGGGGCAACTTTGTAATTGTTTTTCTAGTGAAGAAATAATTGAGTCAGGGTGAAAGTTAGAAGACATAGTCATTGATACGATTGATAAGAGTACTGATTAAAATACAGGGTACCTGAGACTTGACTATTAAAGATGAAAAAATATTTAAGTGATTCGCATTTTTGAGAAATTATTCAGTATTTAATGACGGCTATTTTAAAACTTCAGTTGGAGAAACACACATTTAATCTACATCTGTATATATTTTTTTTAAATAACAAAATTAGCTTCTTGTATAATTTTTTTCTCTTTTATACTACATCTCAGCCTGTTTTCTCCAAAACTAGTTTAATTATTTGTTTTTAAATGATTACCAAAGACGATCCACAGACAGGATCGTTTAATGAACGAAGTTTTATTCTTACCAAAACAGAGTAAATTTTATCTAGATTAAAAATCTGACCACTCAGCGGTACATGTTGATTTTCGATGGCTATCGATCATTCTGTCCATGCCCCCTCTACCACGTCGACGGTTTCAGTCCGTTTTTCCTAGCCACCTTCCTACATTTGCTTCATCGACTTTTTTTTTTTATCTTTCCGCGCTATCCACGTGTCAGCCTTAATGCACTTATGGCAATTACCGGGTTTTAACTTCATTAGGAGCAGCGCCTGTGTAAACAGGCGTACTCCATCGGATGACGTGCAATTAGATACTCGTAATCCCATTACAGCGTAAGGGACGATCACTTAACGGCCGTTCGAGAATAATACTTATCGATTTGGGGAAACTTTCACGCGCTTCTAAACGTTAAGAGGTTTCTTGAGCCCACTCACGATGCATCGGTGTTTAACTCAGACTTGAAAAGTATTTCTACTTTGAAAATTCGTCGATGACACCTTGAAGGAACTATAATAGCGTAAGTGTTCTACGATATACTAACTATGGTTGCACGAAATTGTATTTCTTACTTAACTCGATAGTTGTAGCGTGGAAGTACCGAAGGTGCGTCAAGTTCATGGGAACTGGGCTTTCTAGATAATTAGGTGTTACGTGTTACTGTTAAGTCTAGAAAATAATGTCTCTCCTTAAACAGTTTTTGTTCTGTTTGTAATTAAAGTAGAGTATCTTGTTTTTGTAATGAAATATTTCTTCCCTGGCAATTCTATCCTACTGATTGTTGTTCTAGACTTATGTGTGAACAGGCTAATTTATTTTCGAGATATTGAAAGAAACAATTCTAAACGAACGCAATTATTTTTACAAACTTGATCGGTGAGAGTTTCATTTATCTATACATCAATCATTTATATGAATTTTTGTATAATCAAATAAAAGAAACGTTTCATATGCATTTTGTTCCTATTACAAGAAATTTCTTCGGGCGAAAGTTACTCACTTCATTCAGTGGTCCATCGAAAGATCGATTGATAAAGTTCGAACAAGTGTTCGTGGTCTACGAGAGGTAAAGTCGCGCAGGTGTTACGGAAATGAGTAAATTTCAGTTTAGCGGATCTAGGAACTGAAGAAACTTCATTGTGCCGTGACATGTTTCCCAGAGAACGCTACGCAAACACTTACAAGTAGTACGAAACGTGTTCGTGATAGGATCAACGTCTTTTACCTTCAGGACTACCCACAACTCTGCTAAATGTCTCTGCTATCTTCGATCGAGGACAGTCGCCGTTTGAATATCACTTTTTCTTATTTAAAGAAGTCGGTCAAACTCCGTTGTATCTTGAAGATAAATCGACGTCGCATTGTTGCTTTTTATCTTGAGTATAGTTCAACGATTCACGATACAATCACTTGATATGAATGAACCACTGATAGGAAACAATAACTGAATTTTAGCTTCTAAAAGGAATGAATTCGACACAGTATTTGGTTCTGATTTTATATAAAATAGAATCAAAGTGAAAATGAAAGAGCAATACCAAAAGTAAACATTAACAGTTAGATTATATCCTCACTAATTATCGATGATCAAACTCGACACAGTAATTTATTTGGTGTCCACCAAAAATATTCAATTAATTCAATTCTCAGGTTCAAACTATCATTCTTTACGAATATTCACCACGTTCGCTCAAATGAGACTGCCAAGCCGGTATCACGCTCCCGATATATATCGATAGATCCTCGTTTCACCCAAAACTCGAGTTTCAAACTGTTCAACACAACAACAAGCGGTCAGAATAGATGCAATGCGCTCATGGCTTCATTTCCATCCATGTTTCTCCTTGTCACATCTTTTCGTGGTACGTTGACATCGAGGAGAACGAAACCTCCCCGATTAGAAGTGCCGAACGACCGCGAAGCACCCACGCAATCCCGACGACTGTTTGAAAACAGGTCTGGTCGTCGAGTGTATGGCTCGCAAGCTCCCCCATGCCGAGCTTGCGCCCTGGAGTGCCCGTGGCTCTTATGGGGAGTCAACCGAATCGGTAATTTCTATGTTGGATCCAGCTGCCAGAAATGAGCAGCATTTCATTTGAATAATTGATGACGAATAAAACCTTCGCGTAGCTTGTGTATTATTTACGCGCATCCCTTATTCAATTAAGGGATCAGCATACAACAGACGTTACGTGACTGAATATTTTATTCTGCAAGTATGGGCTGGTAAACTTTAACAAATTTTTTATTTTGCATTTGCACGTACATAGGTATGTGAAATTCGGCAGACCTGATCGTAGAATTAAATAAGCGTGTAAGTTAGTTCAGTGAAAGCTCTATGATCTATTTGAAGCCTGAGTACTTTTAAGATGAAGTAAATGAATTGTAAAGCCTAAATGCTTTTAAAACTATTATATTGACGTGTTCTTACCCTTTCCTGTCAGGTCTTTCGAGAATTTGCTTGATCTTGATCAATGTCACTGTATATTTAGTGATTTAAGAAACTTAAAAACTGCCATTTATTCGTACATTTTCCAAATTATTTTTCCATTTCACCACCCTTCTTGTTCCACCAAGCATGGTTCTATTCTGCAAGTCGTTATTGCTGACACGAACCAAATCGTTTCTGCAGCCCGTAGCATTTCGTAGCTACATTATATAGCTTCCGAAAGTTGCCCTCAATTCAATGTTTTAAATTACTTTTGTCTCCATCGCGTACCACCTTATCAGTATTCATTGAACTACCTACATTTGTTTCCAAGAGTTTCTAGACAGATTGCATTTAAGCTTTCTTTAGAAGTGATGGATTTTACATAGAATGTAACCAAAGTAAATTTGGCAGAACTTCCTCCCATGAAATATTCTCTGTATTTATAACGATGCTTCCCCTTCGAAAGGAGAGCTAACGAAGTTCATGCTCAGAAATTATGGCAACGCCTCTGTACATGCACCATTATGAAATGCATACAACGTGCACAGGAGTTCTGCAGGAGTCGCTAATAATGTGTACGGGTCTGACACAGTTGCGACCGTGGCATTTCATCATTCTGTGCATATTGCGTTATAGTTTCCACTTGACATTAGTCGCCAGTTTCTGGCGGAAACATGAAGTTTAAAACAATCGGAAAATTCATCCACTCGCACGGTCACGATTCAATTCTGTGAATACGTATCAAAATTTTTCAAAGACGTTTTTTTCAACTATCCTATTCGGGGAAAATTCTATTAATATAATCTTTTGACGCAAATATCCGTCAGAGCATTTCTTTAGTATCTTTAAACATTTTAACGATGCTTAGGACGAGATCTGCGTTAAGTAATTTATTTGTGTTATTGCGTATTTCTCTGCGTAAAGTCGGTTAAAATGTTTTTTACAATGAAAAATTGCCTGTGGATCCTATTTCAATGAGAAATTTAACTTTCAAGTGACCATGTCATAGCAGAGGAGTTTCTCGTTTATTCGAAACTGCATTATCGTAACGCAGTATTTTCGAAAGCCTGTTGAAGGTCGATTGTTGCGCACCTGCAGGGTGCTTAAAAGCTTTTTCGATAATTGCTATTATATTACACAGACGGAATTTACGAAACGAGTGCACGAAACACAAGCATGCAGTCGTGTCTAGAATTGTAAATCGAGTGAAATGTTATGCGTTCGTTGAAACATTATTCACTGGAAGTTTATATAAAATTTGCGAACTTTTTTCCCTTATTGCATGTAGAATTTAATTTGAAAATTCGTGCTTGGCGATGAAACAAAAATAGAAGCTCGTTACATTGCTGGCTTTAGTCAAATTTTTTTGGAGATGAGGAATTGTATAGTCTTTGCAAGCATATGAAGTAAAAGTTTTGAGCTTCCTTCGATGCAATAAATCTGAAATTGATATAATAAAATAAATATTTATGTTAAGAGGATTGAGAAGTAGCAATAGATCAACACAGGTTGAAGAATGTTTGATAGTCATTTTGAAATTTAGACGATAGCCAACGTTTCTAATAGTCACAATTAATTGTTGTAAAGTAAAAGTTTATAAAATTCTTGTACAATTAAAAGTGGTCTTCTGTTAAGAAATGTACAATCATTTGTTTGAGCTGAGAGATTATATTAAGCCTCGTCTTAAAAAAAAAAAATCGACAAGGAAGATTGCAAGGGAAATGATCGATCGTACTTAACAGAAAACGTGTTTCTATATATTTCAAACGAAACCGTATAATCTTTTATTTACAATTGTCCGTTAGTATCGCAGAACGAGTACTTTAATATATAATATATTATTATGTACAGTATTCAAGACTTAATGGTACGCCCGAAGCGATGGACAAACGTTCCCGTGGGTGAAGTTTAAAATTCGTAGATAAAGAATTGGGAAGCTTTCTCGAACAGTGTCTTTCACTTTTCTTTTTTTTTTTTTTGTTTGAGTATTTATAGGAGAGAGAATGAGAAGGCGTTAGATAGAAGAAAGGGGACAACTAGAGGCAGTTGCTGAGAAACGGGGGGCTGAAAGAGAAAAGGACGGAACAGAAATAGAAAGGGAATTGGTATAGCAGAGCTTAATTATATTAGGTGCAGGTACCGTTAGAATAATCAAGTAACATGCGATAGAGCGTATTTATACATAGGTATCGATAGAAATAGATTTTTACGTTCATCGCCGCTTTCTAATCTGCAAAACGTACGCGATTCTCTTTCTAATTCTTCATCGTTCATTCACCGAACGGTTTTATCACGTTTTTGGCGCTTCCGTTTGGTGAAACGACTCGTTCGATCGTCGCGTCTTCGGTGTGTTACGTTTTTCGTTCCTCTAGAATTTCGTATCGTCTATCTAATTGCATCGACGTCTTCTCCCGCGATCGACGATCCTAAATACGTTTTAACGCCGTGATCGCTCGCGAGGATCTAATCGACTAACGAATTGGCACTAAACCCGATCTGATATGAGAGATATGGAAGTGCTTGCATGCAGTACGAGCTCCAAAAGGATTAACGAGATTGTCAACGTGACGCTCCGCGAGCTTAACGATCCTCGACGCTCGTGTGTACATTGACCAAGCACAACGACCAGTGTCTAAATACAATTTATGTCGAAGTGTTACGGGCGATCTAGAGACGACCACTTCGATCGAAGACTAGATTTCATTACTTTGTCCGCTCACCTTCGACGATCTAAATGCGACAGCGAATCGTTCCACGGATTTAACGCCGTTATTTTCACGTGAGATCGCTGGCCGAACTTCGGCTTAAATTACGCTAGCGGCTACATGATGTCTCGAATCCCGTTCGATAAACGTCCCTCCGTCTTCTTCGTCTCGTGTCGATTATTCGATTCGTACAGCGATGAGCATATTTACTTTGCTGGTTGGTGGTAAGAGAGGAAAAATATTACCTCCCTCTTTAGGCTCCGCATCCCTTAATTGAAAATTTTCGTCGTTACCAAATCTCGAATGTCGAGTGTTTATATCTTGACCTCTGTCTTGCTGTGCATAAGAGAATCATGAATGTTTGATAATTGATACAATTAAATTTCGAAAGAAGTGAAATTAATTTTGTTTAACCAGTCTCATCAGAAAGAAGGTAACATTTACATTCACATACAATTCAACTGATTCAAATAGAGTGTTCTAATATCAATCTATTAGGCGTAAAAATTAATTCTGTGCTTTTATATGTAATCATTTATAACTCTAGTTTAAGTAAAAATATTTACTCGTCATTTTATCACGCTATGGTACCAACCTTCTAAGTTCTCGACCTTATAACCTAAGTTTCAACTTGATATCTCAGCCATTGTAATAGAGATCAGATTGAAGGCATAAAAGTTTGACACTATAATACGACGAGTAAATATTTCTACTTAAATTAGAATTACGAATGATTGAATACGAAAGCACAGAATTACTTTCTATCCGTAATATATTACCATTTTATGAAAGATTCATAAATTGTATTCACATTTGCTCATCGCTGTACCTCGTCCCGTGAGCCGAGCGTCTTGAGCAATAGTTTTCACGTGACAAAAGCACAAGAGAATTATTCGCTTGCGATGTTTCGACGGTAATTGAAGGGCGTGGCTGATCGATCCATCGATCGCTGGCGCGGCGGTAACGGAAATCGATTAGCAAGCATCGAGTGGGGAATGAGTGCCAGAACGCAGGTTCCGTTGGCATTCGCTTCTCGCTACGAGAGGAATTACGCCAACTTGATTGAACCTACAGTAAGGCCGAGTAAGGATTCACAACCATTCTAGATGTACAGGGTCGCGACTTAAGTTCCGTACGCTTCGAAACAACTATGCGATTCTCGTGATTCGTTGAAATTCTTGATACGTGAGAATTTATTCACAGACAAGTTTGTACGTATACAAATTAAGGGATGATAATTAATCGTTTACTAGAAATCTTTCTTGGTTCGTTCTCATCCGTTCGAAAAATAGGAAGTTATTTTACGTATTGTTTGATTCTCAGGACAAATTCGGCACGGATAATAATTGGTATTGAATTCTGAAATATATGTCTGTTGACTTTGTGTTGAATTTATTGATGGCGTTCTTCTGGAAAAATGTACAAAAATCCTAGGATTTTTGTATATGTTATTTTGTAAAATTTCTGTGTATTTGTTTTTGAAAAGGGTCACCAAAAGTTGGCCAAGATGACGACAGAGATATATTTCAAATGTCAATGTAATATCATAACGAGTAAATCTAAGCAACTTCGTGGT